CATCACTAGTTTAGCATATTCAGCCCGGTTGTTGGCCCGTTAAGATCCTCGATTTTGGAGGGCCAGAGAAAGGTGAAAAAGTAGCCCTGAGCCGGAACTACCCCTAGTGGAAAGGCAAAAAAAAACGGGCCGGGTTTGGCCCGGCACACTTAAACCGTGCTACGCGCTGCAGTGGAAATGCGCCATTAGAGGGCATCACACAGACTAGCCCCACATGGAGTGACCGGCCAGGACTCTCTCTGACAGAAGAACAGCTTATTAGACAGATGGTGGGAGCCTTCCTTGAAGATTGAGGGTTGGGTGGTAGAAGATGAAGAGGAAGTGGTGGAGAGAGGAATGGAAGTACCGGCACTAATACCCAACACCCTTGGTCCAGCAGGGAGTCTCTCGTTCTCTGCCAAGGACACTTCTCATGTTCTATAGACTGCCAGAGAAGATGCAGGGTCTTTGTCTGGGTGTGAGAGGTAGAGGATGAGCAGAAAGCCTACGGGGCCACAACATGGTGATCCCCATGTTTATGCTCTTTGTATTTAACCTTCAAACCCAGCACAGTTAAGCAGCTATACATCCTAAATATACAAATAAATAGACTTTCATCAGCCTGGGATAAAAGACCTACCATACAAACAGGGTGGACAAAACAAGTGCTGGACACAGAGAGTATCCTCAAACGTGTTCATGTCCTTTGTACATGTGTACGGTCAGAAATAAATCAGCGTAAAAACGATCATTTTGTGTGTTAAACAGTGTAGAGGTGGGGTCATGTCCTCCATGTCTGGACTGTACAGTAAGCTGCACTGGGGGAGGATTAGGGCGTACACTATCTGATCCACACAAATCACTGTTGGGGGGGTAACTCACCCACAGCTCAGCACCAGGGATGTCTGGGCTGCTGCTTCCCTTTCCTTACCTTTCCAAATCTCTCAACATCACTGGGGAATGGTTCCATCAGCTTAGTCCCTCTTTTCACTGCCATTACTGATCCAAATGTGCACTAAACCTTACAGTACAGAGCAGTACAATTATAACAGTGTCAGTGTGAAAATGTTTTTATTCTACTGTATTTTGTTAAGGAGTTATTGTTAGGGTTGGGAGTTATCTTTAATATTTAAACTGCATGAGTGTTTAAGATGTACTTTCATTTGAGATAATGAATACAATAGTTCATGTCCAAACTTTTCCCCCTTCAGTAACTAATGAACCAAATCTGGGAAGCCAAATCTTCTTAAGTGTTTTTGTTCAAAAGCAAATATATAATTTGCTTTTGTTTTCCTTTATTTAGTTGATTGTTGAGTCACAGTAAAGTTGGTCATGTTCTATTTATTCTGTAAAACCGAGATTTTCCACAACCAATCATGCAAATGCTTCAATTTAAATCATGGGTTTTCTTTACAGATGCGTTAAGGCTTCTTGAAAATTGGTCACTGAGTACAAAAAAAGCAGAAAAATACTGATAACCGATTAAAGATTCCAAGCCAACTGAGATGAAATATATATAGCTATTGATTTTAGTACATTTTACTCCATAGCTTGCAGATATTGGAACTATAGTTATGGATGACTCCATGTCTGACTTAATGTTTTCATTGTTGCTTATTGCAGCAATGAAACTTTTGGACAACAATAAAAACATGTGTTGACAGTGATTGATAATCTAACGAATGGAAGTGTTTTAATTATTATTTGTTTATACCATACAGAAATAATTGGAAAAAATGACTTCTTAAAACGAATCAAATAATGTTAGATACCACGTTATGTTTCGTGAACTATTGTAAAAAATTGCAAAATCTGGTATGGTAATAATAAACTATACTTAGTTACATTGCAGTGCATTTCTAAAGTGACGCAAGCTTGTCAGGTATTTTCTGACTTAACATAATTTCCTTCGGCCACAGAGATGTTCTGTCGTGCTGCAGGCCTTTTCCTCTGCACACTTCCAGTCCTTTCCTCCAGCACAAAGCTGAACCCTCAGTGTGGTCATGTCAGCGTACAGTACAGCCTGCTTCATCTCCATCAGTGCTGTGACTCAGGCTCCTTTTTGTCTGTCTGCGAACACAAAGGTTAATGTCAGTAGAGACTTAGTGTTTCCTCCTGCACTCCATTGTCATGCCATGCCATGTAGTCATTAGCATGCATGACATGCAGGAATTCACTGGAGTACATTTGCATAAATTAGCCATCTCTTCCATAGAGGCGAAAGGCCGATGAGGAGCACGGGATGAGGGAGGAGGGTGGAGAGGGAGGGTGTAGTATTGCTCAGCCTGTTAATGAAAGGCTGTTTGTAGGCCCCCTATTTAAACAACAAATCAAAGTCATTTATAGCCTCGGCAGGCTCTGTGATCGCACTTCTCCACCAGATGAAAACAAACTGTAACGGAACCTGCTGTGTTATCTATGATTACTATACGCCTTACATTCATAATTTCAGCGGAGGGAGGGGAACAGCAGAACAGCAGAGTGGCGAGGGAGAGCTGTCTTCTTCCCTTTACAAGCTTCAAAAATGTATTTATTGTGTGGTTTTGGAAATAAAAGTTACATAGCAGGCATAGCAGGCTCCCCAGAAATGTTATGCAAACTGTCCGGCTCTGTGATTGGCAGCTGCCTATAGTTTCTTGCCCTGTAATGGTATCTCATGTCCAGTCTAGACACAGATCGGAGCCCTCTTATCCTAAAATGGACCTAATCTGTCCCGTTGAGTAATTTCTCTCTTTGTCTTAATTCATACACTAAGTGCTGCTAACAGCTGAAATGCTCCATGCATGCGGATAATGATCAGGCTCCCTGTCCTCCTCTTCCTTCTTTAACAGTTTCCTAAGCTCTGGCTGTCTCCCTCCCTCTTTGATTTTCTTCTGTGCTCTGTCCATCCTTCCTCATATTCACCCCCCCACCCTGCGTCTCTCATGTTATGCTTTCCTTCATTAGGCTGCTGTGCTGCTTATAACAGTGGAGTAATCACATATGGTGCAGAGCACACATAAAGATCTCTCCCGCAGACAGCAGCTGCTGATACTAGCTGAAAATAGATCCCTGGTACGCTCAGCACTTTCTCTCCAGCAGCTTTACTGCAGCTCTGGACCCAGCCTCATTTAAGCTGCTCTGCCTCACCATTACAGTGTGTGTTTGTGTGTGTGTGTGTGTGTGTGTGTGTGTGTGTGTGTGTGTGTGTGTGTGTGTGTGTGTGTGTGTGTGTGTGTGTGTGCGCTGCAGCATTAGTAGTAGGGGATGTGCTGCTCTCATCAGTAGAGCGGATAGAGCACTCAGAGCACACGGTGGCTCATGGAACAGAGTAATGTGTAACGGAGAGAGAAAAAAAATGATATTACATTATTGGCTCTGCATTAGATTATTATCAATTCTGGTAATAACTTCATGAATAACTACGTCTGTAAGTCTAGGGCACGTAATTGAGAGCAAATATTGAAAAATTACACCAATTGTATTGTATATTCTTTGGTAGTTCTTGCGGGCCATGTAACATGAGGTCACGGGCCGGTTTTGGCCCGCGGGCCTTGAGTTTGACACCCCTGGTTTAGACCTATAAAAATCAAAAAGCAACAACCGATTGCACATGTTTACTAATTTTCCTGAAAAGACAGATGATTGAATTCATTCTCAGACTCTATGCAGTGACCTCAAGCTATTTTTTACTGAGATATTTGAGTTTCCTCGATCATACTGCTTAGTTGTTTTTCCTAAGCGGAAAAATCCACAAATTCTGCGGTTTTTGAAGCTTGATTACTGCAGAGGGAAATTCCTGTTTTACTAGTGGGGAGTCTGGCAGGGACACTGGAAGCTGCTGCAGTGATCACAGGTGATACTGCCCACCTACTGTAGGGTCATTCATCTTCTTGTTCCCCCCAACAAATGGAGACAATAATCACCATACAGTGGGCTCATTAAAAACACATTGTTCTGCTGATCCTCTGCCACAGCAAGCTCTGTTCAATCTTGAAAGGAAAGCGTAACATCACTCAGCCTATGAAAAGGTGCTTTGTAGAGCAAACAATACCGACTCAGAGTGAACGCATTGCAATTGTGTTACTGCTCCTTTCCTATGTGTGTGCTTTGATTGCATTGCCCAAACCGTAATGTGTTTGTCACCAAATCATTAACCGGGATAAAGCTGGAGGGATTGGTTGAGTAAATGGATGAATGCAACCTAGTGTGAATCTCAAGCTGATCTCCAAACAGCAGACAAGCGTTGTGGTCTTTCTCTGGTCTCTGGTCTCAGCGCTCTGCGATAACAGCAGCCGGGCAGCCAGGACTTCTGCAGGCTCAGGAGTTTACCTAATTATCTGGCATTAAGTCTAAATGGAAGGCTTCCCTCTATCATCCCGTACCACATGGCCACAACGGGGATAAGCCTGAGTCTTACATACCATTAGGCTTTACAGGCACTTGACCTGAGGACCAGGGCACTGACACAGAAAGTGAGGCTTTGGGGCCAAGTCCTGACCGGGGCACTAACAGTACATTACGCTCAAATCAGTGTTGTATAAAAATAATATTTATTCACAAGCTTCCTATAAATGAAACATCTTTGTCATAACAACACTTTGGTGCTAAGGTTAACAATTGCAACATATCATTAACCAAACAATACGGAAAGATATTTGCTGATTGTTTTTAAAGAATTACCATGACTTGACAGGAATGGGTGTAGCCAAAACCAATGCCATGGCCACAGACAGTGGCAGATTGCTGTATGTTCCAGAGGTTGGTGTTATGAACATGAGCGGCTATTTAAATGTCCCCTCTGTGTGACGAATAAAGGTATTCTGATTCTGATGCTGGACACACAACCTGCCGACACCCACAGAGCACCCTTCTTATTCAGCTGTATGGAATGTTCAGTGCTGACCTGATAAACAATGAGCCATTTTTGACACTGTTTGTTTATGGTTGTTGGGGCTGTCAGGTTGTCTCACCACACTCCAAGTGGTCTGAACAATGACTGTGCTGATGGTAATGCTGGCAATTTCCCTGTTTCTTTGCAGGTCACTGCCAGGGGATTCGCTCCATTGTTGCAGTTTGCCTACACTGCTAAGCTGTTACTCAGCAGAGAAAACATCCAGGAGGTCATCCGCTGTGCCGAATTCCTGCGCATGCATAACCTGGAGGACTCATGCTTTCGCTTCCTGGAAGCGCAGCTGCGCCGCGAGGAGGACGGCTTGCTGCTCTGCCACAAGGTAGCGGCAGCAGAAGTGAACAACTCACAGGATGAGAGCATGCAGTCTGAGGTGGAGAAACCCACCTCCCCAAAGGCACGACGGCGCGCCGAAGCCCTCACTTCCTTTGAACACCCCGACGAGGATCGGCTAGCGATAGCTATTCCCAGTAACTTCTCCGATGGCAGGCTGGACTTTGACAGGCACGGAGCGTCAGACCTGCCGCGATGCCCAAAGTACAGGAAATACCAGTGGGCCTGCAACAAGCACAATAATGACACATCCTCACACACCAGTACCTCAGGTTTTCCAAGCACATTAAAAGAGAGCAGCGTCAGCGGGGCACTGCCGGGTCAGGACAGGCTGCCTTTGGCACAGATCAAAGTTGAACCACAGGTAGACGAAGAGGCCATCTCATTGTGCCTGTCAGGGGATGAGCAGGGGGGCAGGGATAAGGACAGTGTGATGAGCATGGAGATGGATAACCCCATATCTGTGGAGAGAACCAAGAGAACCAAGTCCCCTTCCTGCCTCCGAGCCTTCTTCAAGAAAGGGGTGGACCTGCCCAACACTTCAGAGCAGCTATTCACCAACAGACTTGTCTGTCCCCAGGACAAAGTAAACTCTCAGGGAGATCATAAAAAAGACTTCAGGCCTTTCACTGGGGAGCTGGGTCTGCCTGTTACATCCCCAAAGGACGTTGACAGTTTCCCTGCAGGGTTGTCCCTCAAGTCCGCTTCCTGTGATGGGGTCTGCAAACAGGAAGTTGAGCTTGATCGCCGTAGTGTCATATTTTCCTCTGGGGCATGCAAACGTCTGGGAACCCCAGCACATTCCTACCCTGGTGGAAACTCTTTGGAGATGGAGCTCTCTGAGCACATGCCAAAGGGCCTGTGGGCCGGAGCCAGCCAGTCCCTCCCCACGTCGCAGACCTACTCTCCCAGCACCACCTCCAGCGACCCCCTGCTCCTGTGCCGCCCGAGACCCAACACCAGCTGCCCAGTGCCAATCAAAGTGTGCCCGCGCTCACCGCCTTGTGAAACACGCACCAGGACTTCCAGCTCCTGCTCCTCGTACTCCTATGCAGAGGACGGCAGCGGGGGCTCTCCCTGCAGCCTGCCCCAGTTTGAGTTCTCCTCCTCTCCGTGCTCCAACGTGGCACGCTGCCTCAATGTGGACCAGCAGGAGCAAAGTGTGGGCGGGGAGGCCCTTTTTAACCAGGTGCGGCCTAAGATCAAATGCGAGCAGTCCTACGGCACCAACTCCAGCGACGAGTCGGGCTCCTTCTCAGAGGGAGACAGTGAGTCCTGCCATGTGCAGGAGCAAGGGCCAGAGGTGAGTGTGAAACATTGTCATTCTCTTGTAACACACAATGTAGCCATTACACTCAATCCCACCATGGCTAATTACATCGCAGTGCCCTGATCTCCAGGTCTGCATTAGCAGTCATTAAATCATCATGTAATTGAAGCAGGGGTGTTCAGTACAAGATTTACAGCGTCACCAAAGGGCACAGATGTGCTTTGATATTATTAATCTGCTTTATGCACTGCTGGAGATCTGTGTAATGAGTCTGAATGTGTGAGCCCAAATGCACTAGGATAGTCAAAATGCAGGAGGCTGTGGTGCTGTTTTTTTCAAGACTTTGATTGGTTCATCATCTACGCTGGGAGTAATGTGAATGTGTGAAAAGCACTGCATGCGTTTGGAGGCTCAGGATTCTCCCAGGGTACAGCTGCCCTCTGAAGTTATTCCCTCTGGCTCTGTCTGTCTCCCTGCCACTGCCAACTACCCTAAATAGCTCATTTTATCCCAGCGGAAACACTGACATCTATAATCCGGCCCTATAAATATGCATATGCTAATTCTAGCATGCTTGTCAGACATTCTGACATTTCTGATCTATCGACCATTAGCAGTGATACCCTGCCGCAGTGAAGGTGTGCAGCCGTCACAAAGGGATTACAACCAATACATTACAGCAGCGCTGTGTATGGCCATAAAGTTTTAATGGTGTGCGGTTGCAGTGAGTGGGCGAGAGGTTGAGCTCCGTCTCATGGCGGCGCAGCTCCACAGTGCTGACAAGGATGAACAGCCAATCCTCTAATCATCCTCCCCTAATCCACCTGGGCAGACGCCCTGCAGACTGTAGGCTGTTGTTGTTTACAGTGTAAAGATCAGTGAGGGACTCTCTCGCTCACAGATGGAGCTCAGCGCAGGTGTAATAATATCAAAATGAGCAGATTTCCCACCTGAGGGGAAGTGTAAGGCAAAATCTATTTACAAAGAATAGCTTTGCCTCCTCAGAGCGCTGCTGTTTACTCGCTTTAATGAGGCAAATTTCCGTCTGGATTTCAGGCCTTGCTGTCACGTGAAAACCTTGTATCTCCAAATTGACTCTTTAATTGTATATGGAGGTTGAGAAGGAGCTTTCTTTGTTTGTTTTTTCACAATAGATGGTATATAGGTATATATATGAGGTATTCACTTGACTGTAGCATAGTCATGTCTGTGACATCACATTTTGGCTGTTGCAGAGCTTGAACTTGTGACCTTTTGGCTCCATGTTCCCAGGCTGTCTTACCTCTTGGGATTTTTCCATCAGTGATGTCGGAATGAGCTTGGTGGAAGAGGGCCGCTCTAAGTGTGCAGAGGAAGCAGAACTGGAAGGAGAGAAGAGAAAGTGGTGCGTTGCCATGGTGATCACATTCACAGAGCAAGTCGGCATGTTGCAATGGTTGGAGCTACATGACAGGATTTAGCTTTTCTGTGGAAATAATTCAGTTCCGCTGCACAAACAGAGCTGCGAGATAAAGAGGCTCAGCAGTAATGCGTAATTATTACCTTCAGAGTGTGGCACACAACCACCGTCGCCACTCGATTGATGGGCCTTTGATAGGCCTGCTGAATGTGCCGCTGTAAATCATGTGGGATGGATATACAGCGCTGAGCTATCAGCTGGGAGAGCAGCCCAAACATGACTGGGAGATATTTCAGTTCTCTTTGTCATTTCTTTGTGTGGGTATGACTGTTTATATATGTATGTGTCAGCCATTGTTGCCGCTCCATTACTCCACTATATCCTCTGTCAAATCTCTATTGGCTTACGCAGGGTTGTCTGCCAGCTTTGCACTCACTATCAGAGCTGTTGATAAGATCCTTCATGAGTGTTTCACTGCTCCACACTTTATTGCACCGGAGTTAAAGTGGAGGTCACAGAGAAGTACTTCCAAAGTGAAGCTCAGTGTTAGGTTACTCTCCCTTGGCCTTTAAGTGCTAAAGAAGTGCTCCCTCATGCTTCCTTGGCCGCTTGTTTTCCTAACACCCTCTCGATGTAATCCTGCCGTTCAAACAAACATGAGCAAATGGCAGCTTCGATAAAACATAGCTTCAGCTCTGGACTGTGGACTTGACACAGTGGATCCAAATGAGGAAGGAAGTTGTTAAAGAGCAGGGCAGTCCGACCGAAGCCCATCATTCAAGGTAGCTGGAGTCACTTCAGGTCTCTGGGCAGCTTCTGCTCTGTGGTTATGGCTGTTGCCTTCATATGGGCCACATCTGAGAACTATCAGCAGCTTCATTCTGCAGACAGAGCAGTCTCCTGCAAAGAGAAACTAAGCAACTTTTGAGAAAAAATTGAAGAAAAGCTGGACTGAATGTTTGTCCCAAGTGTGGCTCTGTGAGGGGATCCATTGATGGCTCCTTGTTTTAACAGCAGTAATGTAGATTGCTGACCTACCTCCTACGCAACAGCAGTTATGGAATGAACTCTTAAAATACTCTGAACTCTTAAAAAACAAGTAATGAGTGGGGAAATGGAAATTCATTTGACTTGTCGAGCATTAATCAAGGGGTGAGATTTAAATTAAACATAAAAAAAAAGATACAAATTATGTATTTTGTCTGGATTTGTACGGCTACAAGCTATAGAGTTAGAGTTGTGGATGGTATATTAATAATGGATACAAATAAGATTGGGTTGATAGTATTGTTTATTGGTTGGTATCAGGATTATGTAGCTACAGATATTGTTATCTATCATTTGACACAATGCTACAGCCTTTAGTGTGCTACAGTGTAACAAGTAGCTTTTCGTGGATAGCTAATGCTAGCAAACTGTAGATGCATATTGCTGTGAAATGAATGGCATCACTACCTCATCACTCACTTTTAGGCTAGTGAATTAATTTAAGTTTTCCACACTCTCGCGGGAATATGTCCACAATGGAGCAAGCTTAAGTTTAATAAATGTAGTCTACATTTCATTAGAGGTGTAAAACCTGTGAGCATTTTAAATCGCATTTGAACGAAAGGCTTATATAATCTGTAGTTGTATTTGTATTGTTGATTTAATGTGTGAACGAGGCGATATAGAGAATGTTAAGCTGTCATTATTAGGCTGTATTTACTGTTGGAGTGTTAAGCAGGCCTATTGTTTTTGGATATTTGTGGAGTTAGGTGGTCCGTGAGTGTTTTTTTATTGGTTAAGTGGTCCTTGGTATGAAAAGGTTTGAGAAACACTGCCTTAGGCCACACCCTCCCTCATTACACAAATACATCACCTGATATGCTTCAATACAATACGCATTCAGGTTTATACAGCTTGGAGTTGGAAAATAAGCATAACAATTATGATATGGTCAAAATACTCACTTGCCTAATAATTGTGAACACAGTATATCTTTAAAGTTGGCGAAATGATTCCAACATGTGACTTACAGGTGTTTCTTTTTGCCCAGGTATGCATTTTTTCATTGATTGCTATTCTTTATATTATTTTAAATAAAATCAGGATTCCAAATTGTTTATTTTTTCCGAATGTAATGAAGTTGCTGCTGATAATAACATGATACTGGCTAAAGAGAAAAGAGAAAACATACCTGGCGGCAGCAGTAGTCGCACATCTCGCATTTGAACCTCTTCTCGTTCTTGTGGGACTTCTGATGCTGGATCAGAGCGTAGCGCTCGTGGAACACGGCGTCACAGTAGCGACACTTTTTCCCAGTCTCGATGAAAGAGTGCTGCTTACGCAGATGGACTCCTGCAATGCAAACAGATGAGAAAAAGAAAAGACATGAGGGGAATAAAAACGACATGCAAAGTGAACTATCTTGTCAGTCTGATAAGTTTACACAGTTTGTGTTACCTAAGTCACTCTTGCGTGCGATGACAGTGTCGCAGTGTGGACAGTGGAACTTGGCCACGTTCTCTGTGTGTTTCTGCAGAATGTGCATCTTCATGGTTCCACTCTGGGTGAATCGGGCGTGGCAGATGTAGCACTCGTAAGGTTTTTCTCCTGAGAAGAGGATTGAAAATGTACATATGTTTATCATCGTTCACATTTATGTTCATAGTCAACAAAACAATATAGGAGAATAAGAGGCGGGTCAGATTAGCACCACAAATTTCATATTTTACTGGCTGATTGCTGGTAGAAAATGAAAGTGGTTAGTATAGTAAACAAACAAACACAATAATATTGTATTAACTGGTAGGTAAAAGTTAAACATTCACAAGTCATATTTCCTGTAGACAACAAATAAATGGTGCACCTTGCAAGAGGTAACAATAGGGAAGGAGGTATACAATGTAGTATATATTTAAATCAGGGTTCCTGCAGGTTTCACCAACTCAAATGTAAGACTTTTTAAGACCACTTTGAATATAATTTAAGAACTATTTCACGGCAAGAAAGTATGAAGGAAAATTGATATGAAAGAAGAAATACGTCCCATAATTACTTACAAACTAAATGTATTCATGTTCAACATAAGAACGATGACTGAACATAACAGCTTAACAGTACAGAACTGTGTTAGCGTGTTAGACAAAAAGTGTGTATGTGTGTGTGTCTGTTCGGGCTGTGCAATTAATCGTATTTTAAATCACAATTACGATTTTGGCCTGCCACAATTACGAAAAAACATAATACAAAAAAACGATTATTTAGCTTTGCTAGGTTGTAGTCTAATTTATTTATCATATTTATATATGTTTAGTAGCCTGTGGAAATGCGCTCCAAAATATTTGTTGATCTTGTTTATTGTTATTTATTATTTTTATATTATTTATTTAAATGTATCACTTATTTAATTTATTTTTGTATTGGTTTTTCATGAATTACATTGCATTTAGCTGACGGCTTTATTCCAAAGCGACAATACAATAAGTACATTCGACCAGGAAGATACCAACTTGAAGAAACAGAATTGCATATAAGTACATTAGGTTTCATATAAGCCAAACATTTCAAGTGCTACTCAACTGGCTTAGATAAGCAGGTCCTTTATTAGTATTATAAGTGCTGTTGTTAGCAGTTCTTTGGTTAGAATTCTATCGCTCGAACGTCGGAGCGAAAGAGATGAGTTTCAGTCTGCGCGGAAGATGTTGTAAGCTTTCTGCTGTTCCTCATTTCAAATGGGGAGTCTCATTCCACCATGTTTGGAGCCAGTATAGCAAACCTCAGCCTGTTTTGCAGATGAACTTGGTCCCCCTCGCAGTTGCGGGTACACGAGCTGTTTGGCTTGATGGCAGAGCGAAGTGATGCGCTGGGTGTTAAAGTTTAACAATGTCCTGGATGTAGGATAGGGCCCAGATCATGCGCACGCCATGGGTACGCAAGGTACATGTGTTTGTTGAAGTGGGATTCTAGCAGTTACTGGGAGCCAGTTGAACGGGAACGGAGGAGCGGCGTGGTGTGGGAACATTGTTTGAAGGTCTGAAATCCAGGACGAGCCTGCTGCATTCTGGATGAGCGCAGATGGTTGGAGGGCACATCAGGTAGACCAGCAGGGAGGGAGTTGCAGTAGTCTAGGCGTTGAGATGACGCAGGGCCTGGACCAGAACCTGCGTTGTTTTTCTGGGTCAGGTGCGGGACGTATTCTCCTGATGTTGTAAAGCTTGTATCTGCAGCAGCGGGTCGTAGCAGGCCGACTGTTTGCAGTGAAGACACTTTGTTATCTAGGGTCACACCTAGATTCCTTGCAGTCTGAGTCGGGGAAACAATAGACGGTGCGATGGTGTGGTTTGGAGGCCTAGAGAGTGGAAGTGGTTCTCAACAGAAGGAAAAAAGGAAGCAGTTCATCTTGTCAAGGTGAGCTGAGGGTGGTGAGCAGACATTCATGGAGAGATGTCAAGCTAGACATAGCAGAGATGACGTGCGCAACGGTACATGTAAAGTGTCTCTGGAGCAGGCCGTACCAGACGCGCAGCGGAGGATGTGACTGGTCTGCTCTGTGGGTTCGTAACAGGTCAGCAGTTGGTATGAAAAACCAGTGCGGACGTAATGACTGATTGCGATCTGGCAGATGACTTTGTGTGGAAGGAGAAGAGGAGGAAAACCAAGAACAGAGC